AATATTCGTCATCAACATCAAATGATGTATTTTTCATTAGAATCCAACACAAAAAAAAAAATTTTCAATCCAAGAAATTATTGACACACATAAAAATTGGAGTTTTGACTAACTAAATACTCCATATTGTTCAGAATTCGATGCTATATTCCAAATATGTGCATACTTGTGAACAAAAATAATGCAAAACGGCACAAAATTCGGATACTAATGAAATTCCATAATACAATGGGTGAAAATATTAAATTAAACTGTGTTCAAACTGAGTACGTTTGATGAAGTTTGTTGAGTTCTATCTGAAGATGTTATTTTTATTACAAAGATTATTAGCATAAGCGAGCTAAATATACTATCAGCGGGTTTCGTTACAGTATTTCATCAAAAATAGAGATGATTTTGGAATGCATTATCTTGATTCGTAAACATCTAACATTTGTACGAAGATCATATGTTGAAAGGATACTTCGTATTCGATCGATTAATAATTAATTTGAAGAATTTTTTTCTGCTGATCTGTCTCTGCTTGATGAGATATATTCTGCTACCATCTTTTACATAAATTTTGCAGTTGTCCACTCATTTCAAATACTATCGATTGTTCTCTGTTCAATGGTAGACTTAACTTTATTCACTTTTAAGTTCGAACCCGTCCCACATGTTGGTGATCGATGACTGCTGATGCCGGCAAATATTCGAATTCATCATAATAAATCAGCAAAAAGTTGGTCGCATGAAATATCTTGATTTTGATTTCTATATTATGTTTATTTTCTTCAAGTTCATTTAAGGAGTTCTTTCTTAAATAATATTATTTAGAAAATTATCACTTCGCTTGAATTTTTTTTAATGCCTATAAAGAATAATGATACAAAATACTGATAAATGAAAAATTTTTAAGAATAAGAAAAAGTTTTTTGAAAGAATATTTTTATCGAAAAGAATAAATCATTGAAATACAAATTTGTAAATGATTGCCAGTTTATTGAAATATAAATAGACTAATCACATATAGTTAAGTAAAAAAGAAAACAACAGAGAAACAAAACGATCTATCATGAATATTTAATTGTCCTTGTATGATGAATATGCTTGTATAAGATTTTTATGACGTTTAATATAGTTTTTTCCATTTCTATATTCAGCTCGTGATATTCCTATTTCATAAAATCTTGGCGATGGATAAGCCCATCTATCATTGTTTCCTTTTTTATTCATATTATCACGAGGTGTTTTTGAAAATAAATCCAAATATATATCAGATTCATTTGTACTTCTCGAACTTTCTAAACTACTATTAGGTCGATTGATACCATCGAAATCGTTATTGAATCGTCTGTAAATCATATAAACTCTTGGTAGTTGATGAATTTGATCAGTGTTAGGTAATGGTTCTGATGATACATCACGACGATGTTTTCTATATAATAATCCTAAACCACTGTTAAAAATAAGAGAAATTTTAATTTTAGTAATTTCCAATTTTTCTTTTTTTTAGCTTACTAAGGTGATGGACAACATAAACATAAACAACATAAAAGTGACAATATTGCAGCCACAGCGATAATTACAAGTAATAGCCACGATAGTCCATTCGATGATGAAGCTTTGACGAGATTCAAAATGATAATTAAATAGTTTATTATATTGAACTTACCAGTAGTTGTATTGATAGTCGTAGTAGTTGTAGTTATTGATGATGTATCATCTGCAGAACTTTGTTTATCATTTATATATGTTGTGAGATTATCAATAAATGATGAAGATTCAATAAATATTCCTTGAGTTATTGTTGATGATGTTCTATCAAAACATGATTATCAAAGGAAATTTTTCTTTAGAAATACTATGATTTAGAAGTAAACTTTTATAGAAATATTTCAAATAAAAAACTTATTATTCAGAAATAAATAGTTCGAATTTTTTTTACAAAAATTTGTCTGCCGTATCGAATTTCTTTTAGATCAAATAATTATCATTTAATTAATGATATTGTTATAAAAATATAAAGAATGTTGATGTGAATGAACGAAGGACCGAGAATTTTACGAATCTTTCCAAAGAAAAAAAAACCACTACCAATCTTCAATCAATTTACTAGTTCTGAATATTTATTTTACGTTCTTTAAAAGATAAAATCAACATCTTTTCTCATCTATCTATGTGAATTATTCACTCAAGTAATATATATACATATACTTTCAATATAATCTTTCATTGTTGCAATGTACTCACTTGAATTGTAAATGTTACATAGTTTATCACACTATTAATTTCCTTGGAACTATTAATACAGTTTAATCTACTAATAATTGATCAAAACATAGAAAGAGTATAAATTCTTGATAATAAACTGAAAATTACATTCTAAGTCTAAATTGTTCGATTAGAATTTTTACAGTGCTCTATCTAGTATATATAGCAACGGACAATATCAAATATGAATATTAATAATTACTTAACCCAAAACAAAAAAACAGATGAAATTGAATTTTATCCAGTTCATATTAATATTCATTTGTGTACGATGGTAATACAAATAAAATTTGGTTATGATACTTACGAAGTTTCTAATACTTCTCCCGGACATAGTTGAGTGCCACTTGTGCTAACGACGAATGTCATACAATATTGATTTGATTGAACATTTTGACTAAATTGAATAAAACAAAAAAATTGATAACTAATTTATTATTACTTACCTATCAACTGCAACGGCACAAAGTATTTGTGAACCAATTTCCTTTATAGTTGGTGTCCATGTTAAAGATACAGAATATAATGTACTTGTATTTTGAATAATATTACTTTTAATTACAATAGGAAATGATAAAGTAGCAATATCCACGATTGTCACACTATAATTTGAGCAATAATTTTCAGCATAAAGTATAATCGAATGTGATTGACCAACTTGTATACTTTCACATGTACCTGTTTGATTATTAGGACCGTAAAGAAGAGGAGCTATAATGCAGTTAGGTGAATCATATACATTGATAAGAAGTTGAACTGGTACAGAACTTAATGGAGTAGTTGAATTTGAAGAAATAAAATCTTCTATCTAAATTTTAGAGAAAAAGAAAACAACAAAGTTCAATCGATTACTCTAATTCGTTGTCTCATATAAATGATGCACATCGTTATTACGTACTTGAATAGCTACAGCATACCAATCATCAACTTGAGCACCAGTAATCAACAATGTACAATTTGAAGATATGAGTACTGTATTATTAGGTAGAGAACTTGGTGGACATACATCTGAACATTCATTTGTTGTATTAGCAAAACGACATCGTACTACATCATTATCACTATCAATTGTTGGTATAATCAATGATTGTCGAATTCCAACAGGAATCAATACAGGTGAAATCATATTTGCAACAGGAGGTGTATTTGGCTTACCTGTATCTGATCGTGTACGTAGATCAATAGTACATGAGATACTCCAACCTTTGTCAGTTGGATCTCCTATTGGTAAACTCAATGTTCGCCAAGCCGATCTGTAGAAAATAAAAATAAAAAAAAGACATCTTATTAATTTGAAAACAATAGTATAACATACGATACAAAAGCAACTTTAAAATAGGCTCCACTCGTAATATTAACTATATCAGTTCGTTGTGTAACACTTATAGACATTGCTGCTGAATAATCTATACAATATGTTCGAACTGGTACTGCTATATATCCACCTCTTGTTGTACAATTTGCTATACAATTGAGTTTATAATTATATTCATTAAAAGAACTTATATTCGGTGTGCTTTGTGATAATATATAAGAATTATCACAATAAACTAATGGCCATTTGTATATATATGTTTGTGTTATCATAATAGATACTTTTGATCCATAAGTATTTATAATTTTATATGTTATTGTTCCACCTTGAAAATGACTTGTATTAATCATATTTATGTATATAAGAAAGATTATAATTTTGAATACTACTATTATAAACATTATTTTTCTATTTTGATTAGCCCGTTCAATGAAAATAAATCAAATGATTGAATGGCGTCAACAAATTTCTTCTTTCTGATTCTCGACTTTCTAGAAAAAAAATATTTATCGATTTTCTTTTTCTTCAAGAGTACTTCCAATTTATAAGTTTTTTTCTAGTTCATTGTTTTTTTTCCCACATTTATTTTAGTGCAATGCAATACTCGTATATATCATAAATTTTTTCTTAAATAAAACTTATTTAAAAGTACGAAAGTGAACAAGATATCAAATCTACTCACTACACTCCTTTGTTGTCAATAAAGTTAAATTATATATATATAGTGAAAGTGCATAGTTATGTCGACACTTTAATCATAAATTCATATAGTTACTGATGAAGTAGCTGTTCGAAAATTGTAGTTGTTCCATGCTGAATGCCTTGTGTAGAATAAATAACAATTAGATAACAATACAATATCAGTTCGATAGTATTTTACTCACAATTCAATCTTAATGCATAAATTATTACTCAATCTATATTATCTGATTTGTTGAAATAGAACAAAATGATCTTGTAATAGCTTTCTCATGCAGGTATTTCCATCAACTTTTTATTTTGTTGAGAAATTTATCTAAGGTTTCTGTAAGGTTGGATCAATCAATGAGTTGCATTAAAATACTGTCTTTATTATTTTGTCATCTATTATTTTGTGTTCTACTAATGTTTTATACGATCAAAACTTTCTTTCTCTTGTCTAAATGTCTTGTTAACAGAAATTATTTATTGATCAATTTTACAGACACTTCAAATGAATTTCTCAAAAGAAGAAAAAGTTGATAAAAATATTTGAAACAAGTTGAGATTACTGTATATAATTCAACTTCATTGACAATAAATAAAATGAACGTTTCAAACAATGTTCCTTTATAATATGAAAAAACGAAAGAACAAATAACAATAAAGTTTTAATAGAGATATAAATCGATCATTTTCATGGCTACTATAAATGTAGAATCGATTCATTAAGATATTAAAGAAGATTGTTCATTTATTTGTTGGTTTCTTTTCTTAATTGTTTCTGTTTTAGTTTCTGTGTATTATTATATGAATCAAAGACATGATATTTTTCATTTATCATCTTATCATTAATGGTATAACTTCCTAATGGTCCACTCTGTTGTTGTTTCGTATTACGCCAGGGTTCAAGCAATTGGCGACATGAAAATGATCGAAAGAGTTCTAAGTGATTCTTGAAATGTGGTTTTAACCATTGACTATCTGCAGAATATGATGATTTAATACGATTAAATGCAGATGGAAGAGGTTGATTATCTGAAAATATAATAAAGATAAGACAAAAACTTTTTCTTTTCAAAATAATTATTTTTATTTTACAAATATAAATTGCATTATTCATTGTTTGTTGTAAAATATTTTCTATATATTTATTTGTTTGTATTTCTTGATGTTTAATTGGTTTATTAAATTTCATTTTGATTATTTTAGGTTTTTGTCTATGAAATTTATAAGAGAATGGTAATGTTTGACATTGAGTTTGTAAAGAAATATTTGTATCTAAATTATAAAATTGACTGTAATTATAATAAATATATATATTTAAATAAATAATCATGATCAAGTAGAATTTTGATAGATAGAATTACTTATATTATATTTTGGATATTGAGACATAGCTTTTAGTAATTTTAAATGATATTGAAAAGCTTTATAAGCTGTATATCGATCATGTACTGGTTGATATTTCTTTCGATGATATCTTTGAAAAAAAAACAAAATAAATGAATTATTAACATATGAATTTAAAAGATTTTTTTTTTTTTGTTACATTACTGAACGAATTAATCGTTTATTTTCACTGTCAATATTATCTTTCCATTGTTTTTGTTGTAAACGAAAATGAGAAATTTTTGTTTGTTTTTTATAATTTTCATTATGACAATCAACACCACCTTTTTGTTTACTATTATTTGTCCAAATTTGAAGAATTTTTTTACATAATTGTAAATTACGTTGATATATATGAAATAAACGTTGATTATGATCGAAATATTTACGATGTCGTTGAGTATTCATTGTTTTCGTTAAATGTTTCTTATTTGTAAAAGATAATGATGATTGAATATTTGTAATACGTGTGCGAAGAAAATGATTATAATCAATTTCATGTCGAATTAAATCACAATAAGTTTTTGGAAGTTCTCGATTTAAATGAATAGGTGGAGCATGATAAGATGTTAGATTAGGCATATCGAATAGGATTTTAAAAAAAACAGATTTGAACATGAAAAAAGCGCTTTGAAATGATATATTTATTAATTTACAAAAATCATTTAAATTGAGTAGTCTTCTCAATGACTTTCGGTTCTATTTGCCAAACTTATTTCGTCCTACTCAATTTGTAATACACAAGTTTTAAGTGATCAGAAAATAAATATGGATTGATTTTCAATGAATATCCAATACTAATTGTTGTTCGAGAACACATTGAGAAATTGATCGATATTCAGAAATGGACTGACTCGAAGTCGTTTGATCGACATCAAACTCATCTCGGTTAGCCAAATGATAAAATCTTGCCGTCTTTAGTTCCAAGAATGGGTATTACTAATTCCAAGTAAATTGGGAATATAGTAATTGTTCAATTATGTAGAGAAAAATAATGACAAACGTATCGAAGGTTAGATTCGAAGAACATTTTCAAAATGTGTTGCAGATTCGCTGAGAGAAACGTGTCTCCACGAGTTACCTATGGTAATTATGGTATGAATAACCATCTGGTAGCTATGACTACAATTGTATAAAAGATTACGTAGAATAACAAAAAAAGACATCAAGCCATAAGAATTAAAATTAATCGAGGAGTAGTATCCCACGACTAAGAATACAAAATCCATATATACTCTATGTTCCACTGTATACGATCGCATTTCTCCGTATATGATACAGAGAAATACGATCGTAATACTGAGTCGTGTAATACGTCAATATACGAGCATTTACGGTTGTTTACAAGTGTGTTTGTTCGACTTAGGATGCCTTGAGAAGTGATGATGACGATGATTATTATTATTAACTTATTGAATGATTCTATCAATTGTTCAATGCTGTATAGATGAAGATATGATGTTTCTAGTAGATGCGCCTATATGCATATCTCTATTCTGTCAGTCAAGGATCAAGTGAATCGAATCTCGATGAAAGTTACTTGTTATTAGTATATTTCGAATATAGGATTAGTATGCCTCAAGCAACTTGAGCATATATATTTTGATGATGAAAATGTGAAAAATTTCTAAGAAAATAGTTGTAAATTATGTTCCTTGTGATAGATCAAAATTTTCATCTATCTTCAATACAAAGTGTACAATGTTGTAACAATAGAATGCCTAACAAGAAAATTGTGTGTACGATAAGCAAATGAATATTATATCTCTTTGTTAAAATAATTCGTTTAAACAGTTTAATTCACAACTAAATAAATTGCATCGTTAATATTACCATCGGACATTTGTAAAATGTCATTGAACAAGTCAGATTTGGTACTAATAGTTTCGCTCATTTTTTCTGTTGGTAATGAAAATGAAGCATTTTTTTATTGTTTTTTTTTCTCTTTAATGGTGTCAGCTATACCATTGCTATACATACGACACGTTTTCTATAGTTCACACTATTTCATTATTTGTTCAATACTATTTATAGAAATATATATCAATAAGAGAAGGTAACAGTTATGAAAAAATTCAATATAAAAAATCCATAGAATCAAGAGAAAATCTAATCAATTGGATTTATCAGATATCTCTCATATACAATGATATTTGGAAAGCATTATTATGTATCTCATTGTTGAAAACAAGATCGCAGTGTCGCACCAATATGAAGATCATCCAAATAAAGATTGCTGATTTCCTTTTATTAATCTATATCAACGATCGTTCTATTCATTTGCTTGTTGAACATATATATATAGAGAGAGAGTAGCTATTAAACTATGATATGTGCATTATAAATTCAAATTTAGTCGTTTCTAAGTTATTAACTTATTTTCCAACTTAACTTAGTAACTTATTTAAACTAATTATTAACTTGTCACATAACTATGATTACTAAATATAACTCGTATCAGTACACAATATTAGAATGTTTCTAGTATTGCAAGTATCATCTTAGAATATCATTGATAGTTTCGATCATCGATATGTATGACGATCTTCGAAGTATAGATTGCCGAGTTTTAGCAAAGTATGTACAGATCGAAAATATTATCCTGTGAAATTTATTTTAACTATTTGATAATTAATTATACAATTAAATTACAGATCTCTAGTTAATTAAAATCTATTATTAGAAAAAAAAATGTATGTAGATGATAGATAAAATTTATTCGATATAAAATACAACTATAATTATTTTGTTTTTTCATCTTTTCAAATTAAGAAAATCAATAAATTGAATTTTTTTTTTTTGCAAAACAAAAAAATCTAATAATTATCAAAGAAAAACCATATGTTGAGGACTTTGAATATTATCCAATTGTGAAACAAATGTATATGTACCGCTATCCCTATTATATGAAAAACAAACTAAATTATTTGATTTTTGATTAGCAACGAGAAGAAATCTTCCAGTTGGATCGAATGTAAAATAACGTGTAAATGAACCACGACAATCAAGATGTTCTTTAACACTTAAAATTTCATTATTATTCTCATTTATATTAAATATAACAAGATTTTCATCACCACGATTTGATACAAGTAAATATTTTCCATCTGGTGTCAATTGTAATTCAGCTGGATAATTTTCTTTACTTGAATCTAGAAATACAAAAAAAAAACAAAAATGTTTAATTTTATTCATTTTAATTTTATTTTTTTTGCAATATTTAACCATTTTCATCTTCTTGTCGACGTGTTTTTATTGTTTGAAGATATTCCAATTGTTCACATGATGCATTTATTCGATAAACATTTGTTGTTGAATTTAATTCATTACATAGAAAAGCTAATGATTTATTTGGATGAAAAATCATATGACGTGGTCCAGCACCTGCTTCTGTTTTTATACGATTACCAATTAAACTAACTTCTCCATTTACATTATTAAAACGATATATATTTAATGTATCTGTACCTAAATCAACAACATATAAATAATTTTGATAAAATAATACTTGATGACAATGTGAATGATCTTGACGATCAGGATTAGGACCACGTCCATCAATTGTATTTATTTGAGCATTTTTTTCTTCTGGTAAATTTAAATTATTTAATGGAAAAAGAACAACATTCGATGTGCCTTGATGACCATAACTAAAATATATTAAATCAATAGTTCATATATCATTTGTTTATTTTTATTCATTTATTGATAATTAATTACTTAGCTACTGCAAACCATTTTCCTGTTGAATCAATATCCAATGAACATGGTGTATTACCTATTGATGATATTGTATTTTTCAATGTCAATTTACCTTGAATATGATCATCAATTATAAATGTTTCTATTTTATCGATATATTCATTAGCAACATAAAGTAAATCATTTCGTCGTAAAAGCCATGATGAACCTTGTCCACATTTAATTTCATTAAGTAATTGTAATTGTCCACTTGATGAAAGACTACATGCATAAATACTTTCAACACCAGTACCAATAAGAAATGTTTGATTACTCATGATATTATCTAGAATTTAGAATAAAATGTATATTTCTCCTTGAGTTTAAGTGTTAAGACCATGTGCATTTGATAATAATGACAAAAAAAAATGTTTTTAAGCTTTTGCAACTTACAGTTAATATATATATATATCTGGTCCGTATGATATAGATGAAAAGTACCTGCAATCTCCAAATTTCATACATAGAAAAAAGTCAAATAGATTGTGCATTTTCAAAAATAGCGAACACACTTCATTCTTTACTATTTCCACTTCTTTTTACGACTTCTTGTTTTATTCTTTGGTTACCAATAAAAGATAAACATACATAAAATAGAGTAATTGCACACTATGCACATTTATGTTTCTTACCACAAGAGTTTAGCATGGACTGTAACAAAATGATGATGTAGAAAGCTTCTGTTATTTGACGTTGACATTTACTCAGATTGTATTCGTTTCAAATGATGATTAAATTCATGACACATATATGCATTGACGGTGACTAAAGGGTTAATGTTAATCTTAATAATAAATATCTTGCTTTTATTTCTCGTATTTGATGATTATATAAAAGATGTTTGTATCGAAAAATAATAGAACTGCATATATAAAATACTTAAATCAAGGAGAAAAAAACGGCACTTCAGTACTCCGAAGTATTGTACTGCATTCCTACTGAAGTCTTACTATCTTCCCCTTGTACTAAATACATATTATTACCAAAGGTATAACGATTCTGTTGTAATATCAACAGGATACATGAACCGTTAACTACTGACGTTAATATTAACCTATACACAAAAAATATTCCATTGTAGAAAAATAATTTCGATGATTTGAAACTAAAGATAAAGAATACATTGAATAAAATAATTTTCTCAAAATTGAGAATAGACTAACGCTGTTCCACCCATTTTCTGCTAGAAATTAGATAGATATTCCTACAAACATAATTATGTAGAATATATAATTTAACATATATAAAAATGAGTACTTTCAATCTGTATTTGTTTCATATTCTTCAAGAACAACAAATGATGTCTGATACTCTCACACTTATTGTTCTTTTTTTTTTTAGATAAGATTTGTTTATCAAATGTTTTAACATAAAAAAAGCCACGTTTTTTTTCTTCTTTTCAATAAATAAATACACAATATAATTCTATGCTTTTCTTTGATATCCATTTCCAAAGTTCTACGATTGATTTCATTTCATAATTGATTTTTCTCTTAAGATCCAAAGATATATATATATATATTTCTTTTATTCTAATTAAATCCTAAATAGTATTCTTCATAAATTTCATTCAATATAGTAAAATGACTGTATATAATTAAATTTTAAAGTATAAAAATTAAAACTTTATTCGTATCTTTTAAATAAACCAAATAACATAAAAAATTCAAACAAAAAAATAAAATAAAATAATGAAAGCACCAAATTAATTATTTAATAGAAGAAAAAAAAAACAAGATTGCATGTCAATATAGATATATATATATGTATATATACATTGCACTTGTATAAATCGAGAAAAAAAAACTCATCGTTGAATATCTTGTAGATAATTATGAATACGTTTTTCAAGTGATAAATTATTACCATTATTATTTTCAAACCATGTAACTAAACAAGTTTCAGCATTCATTGTAGCTTCAAATTGTTCAAAATTAATTATCCATTCATTTTCCATTTCATTTGTTGTAGTATCATTTGTTTCTACTTGACGAGGAGAAGATTTACATATTTCACCTTTTAAATGACAAAAAAAGACAAAAAAAATGGAAATAAAAAAGAATTCAAATATAATAACAAACAAACCCATTTTTAAAAGAAGTGTACTTGAAGTTGCTAGTGCTCTAAATAAATTTTCCTCATTAGCGGCTCCAGTCATTAAATTATATATTGATTTACATAGACGTATAAATTCAGTCTAAATAAAGAATATGAAATTTTATTTTTTTCAAATATTTATTCAGATTCAATGACAATGTCGTATGAGGAAATAGGCACAAAATATTCACTTATCTCCTGATCATTAAAAGAAAACTGGTTAGAGCTAGAAATAGTTAGTTAAAATCAGCATTTTTCGAATATATGTTCAAACTTTCCTACCGAGGTACGATTGAACAATCATCAGTAAATTTTCTAAAAATGCCCAAAATTTTACCCGTATATAGCAAAACAGCAATTTTGATGTAGTCCTTAGTTCGTATATTCGAAGAATTTTGACTTAATATTATGGTAGAGTACTAAATTCTATATCCAATGAGATATTACAATAAGCGAAATCTAATCTATGTGTTTATATTAAAGATTTAGTTTCTATGGAAATAGACATCGGTCAAAAAGTGATCGTTTCAAAAATTGCTTTTTGAAAATACAAAAGTTTTAACATCTGTCACGCAAGATCAAATAGCAATACAAAAAATGAGTCATTAAAAATTATTTTTAGATTTTGAATTCTATAGATTTCAATCGAAATAAGATCTAAACGTAACAGTCAATTCTAGAAAACTACTCTATAAATATCAAAGGAATCCAAAAACTGATATATTATAACTTTCGTATGATTTCAATTGACTTAGTTCTAATCAAAATGCAAAAAAAAACAAAATACATGGTAAAAATAAAAGTACCTGAAATTCAACATTAATCAATACTTTTCTGCCCTACATCGCAGTACTCGCTATCCAGGAATTGAATGTTCAAGACATTCTTATTACAATGAGGATGGTCCGAAACACTGGGATACATAAGCCTACGGAAGGAGTTAGAAAGACTGGCACAAACAATCTTTGTGAAAGTGCTCCAAACATTGAATCCAACTTGATTTTCTAATTTCTGCATGTTATGATATCATAAATGATGAATCTTTTTTCTCTTTAGATATCTTTAAAATCGATAGTTATTTATTTGAGATCGAATATTTACTTGATTCATTAAAGGTAATTGACTAGGTTTAAGATATGTAATTTCTCCATTTTCTATGTACAATGAGGGCATTTGCTCATTAGTTGATATACTTGATTCAAGTGATATATTCTCACTATTTACTGATGACGAACGATGAGCAGACGTTGATTCGAATAAAATATTAAAAGCTTCTTTTCTTTTATTTTCATCTATAATATATAATAAATAAAAAAAAAAACAATATATTCATTTAAATAATTAATTCTAAATAACAAACCTTCTAAATGTGAAAGAAATAAAATAATTAATTTATGTTTAAAATCTTCATTCCATAAAATACTCCATAATCGAATAAAATGAATAAAATCAATTTGATCTGGTTGAACATTTAAATTAAATAACTATTCAAAAAAGAAAAATGATCAATAAAAATTTAAAAAAAAAATTCTTTTTTTTTTTTTTTACATCAAATAATTTATTTGCTAAACTTTCTGGTTGTTCACCAATATACCAAGGTGATAAATATTTACATAATATTAAATATTCATCTCGATTAATTCTATATGTTTCATAAGCAAGTTTTCTTGGATCATTTGCTTCTGTTAATGATATACGTGAAACATCCTTAAAAAAATAAAATTAATCTTTAAAAATAAAATTTTTCTCTTTCTTTGTTTTTTTC